CTCCAGCAGGAACTCCTTCCTCCTGGAAAAAGCCAAAAAGAGAGGCCTTCCCCTCTGTGCCAAGGAGTCTTATTGGCTCTGTTTATGGAGGATGATCTTTGAAAAGCTCCCTCTTTGCTAGCTTTTCATGGACTGTGCAAAACTATCAAAGAAGCCTTTCCTGAATTCACCAGGAAAAGACCTTTGTAGCATTTCAAACCTCCAGACTCTTCCAGCTGAAGGTGAGACTTGACCATCACATTCTCTCTGGCCAGGGAGCAGTTAGCATTTCTAAAGCCTGACTGGATGAGGCTTTACTCCCCCCCCCCACACACACACACACCTGTTCTGTGCTAAGAGGGATAAAAACTTTTTAAAACTCAGGGTTGAAGGCTTTGATGTAGTCCAGACCTCCAAAGTAAAACACATTTCTCTACATCCTCCCTATTGCAGGAATTCTAGTGATCAAAATGGGATTTTCCCTCCTCCTAGGAGTGGTCCTGGTATGTGCTCATGTATAGGGAGAGGGGACCCTTCAGTAGCGTTCCTGCAACAGCTAAGACCTCAGTGGAGTGAATGCCCCTGGCAGGAGAATCCTTTATTGGTCCACAGTGGATGTGGTGGGAATTAGATACCTATGGCAGGCCCTGCCAACAGTGCCTTCTAGCCAGGCAGTTCAAAGGGTGGGGGCAAGGGGCCACCTTTGGGGGCAGGAGGCTTCAGTTTGTGGAGGATGATCTGTGAAAAGCTCCCTCTTTGCTAGATTTTCATGGACTGTGCAAAACTTCCTTAGGGCTTTTGGTGATTGATATGTATTCCGGGCTTTTATTCTGGGCTACCATGTCTGTTTTAAGTGGTTTTAATGTCTTGTATGTCTGACTGCAAGACCACACTAAGCGTAGGCAGAAAACTGATGGGACAGAGTTGATTCGGCGGGGGACGAAGACGTCTTCGCAGGATCATTCCTGCGGGGACAACAGACGTGCCGCACCATGCGGTTCCCAGGAAGTGACGCCAGGCGATGCTCTGGCAATGGGGCCAGAAACTCGATGGCACCATCGAGTTTTCAGCCCCATTGCCAGAGCGTCTCCCAGTGTCATTTCCTGGCAACAGCATGGTGTGTTACAAGGAGAAATGTTCCGGCCGGGGAGCATGTATTGTCCCCCACCGGATTGCGGTAAGTACTTGGCAACCCTAGCTCCAAGTGACTTGGCAATTCCTGCTCCTTTGACAAAAGGGATCTCTTTTGTTCCTCCTCTAATGCAGCCATTGGGAGTAGGACCCCAATCCCCAGACCCTTGTTGTGCACACAGGGTTAGGGTACTTGGCTGTATACAAGGGTCTCTGAGCCCTCACTGGTGGAATGGGTTGTGCTTGTTGGGGAGGCAAAAGGGAGAGGGATTGGGGGGAGTGTAAAAATGTTGAGGGTCTCTTTAAGTTTCTGCTGATTTGCTTTTTTCCCTGGCTGTGCTTTAAGTGGGCAGGTGTGCCTCCCACCTGAGGGCACCAAACAGGCTTTCTGGCCCACAAGAATTTCGGCCACAGGCTATGTTAGTCTTTTGAAGTTGCCCCAAGACCTTTCCTTATGTTGGATGCAAGACAAATACAGCTGATTTTTTTGGAAATGTGTTTAAATTTTTGTTCACATTCATTAATTTACATTTTTATGCCATTTCCCCCTCATTGCTCCAAGCAATTAAAAACAAACCAGATTAAAAACTACCCAGAGACCTCGACATCTTAAAACACTAACACAATTAAATGCAGCTGAAACCAACTTGAGAAAAGGCAGCTTAAAAAAAATCAACCCCTGACCTCTGCTGTCACTGTTTCTTGCAAGTTGTAATAATTTGCCTCGAAGCGGGGTCCCCGGCCCGAAGGGAGGTCTTGTGCTCAGTGCTTCAGGCTTTGACATCTGCGCCTTTCCTCCCCTGCAGAGTCCACCCAAACTGAGCGAGCCTGGCACAGACAGTAACAAGGAGAACACCGCCGGGGATTCTGGCTCTGAATCCTCCTCGCAGGAAGCCACTCCGGAAAAGGGTAAGTGCCCAAACCCGCTCTGGGGCCTTCCCGTTGGCCTTAAAACGGAGTCCTGTGTGGCTGAGCCTGCCGGAGCCTCCAACTCCCCCTGCTTGCCCAGCAGCTCTTGGAGAGCGCTGAACAGGCGGTTTCTGGAAACCCTCTGCCTGCTTGCTGGCAGGAGCGGCTAAGGCGAGATTTGGTGAGCCTTGCTGAGGGCCACCAGGATGCTGGGCAGCCCCCAGGATTTAAAGGACCGGGAGCCTGCAAAATTCAGAAAAGGAGGAAGACAACAATCATGGAAGGAAGGGGTGGGGGAAGAACAATCACCATTCATTCCAGTTTAGTTTCACTCCAGGGGGAGGACTATTGCTTGGTCAAAGGCGGGATTTGTAGGAAGTGAGGAAGGTGTTGCCAGGCGGTTGTTTCGGGAGGAGGTTCCAGGCGAAGGAGCAGCAAGGGGGTCCTTGATTCCATCTAGCCCTGCTCCCTGCAAGAAACCCAAGGTGGTGGGAGTGAGGGGTTTTCTGCCTGCTGAGGCTTGTAAATCAGGAGGAGGAGGAGCAGTAGCCATGGGCCAGCCTGCATCAGGACAGGAGGGTGTTGAAGGAAGGGGTGAGGTGGTGTTGCCAGAGAAAGAGACTGGTTGCCCACCTAGTTCTTCAGAGACTCAGCCTTCCTCCTCTGCTAGTTCTTGTGCCAGTTACAGGACAAAACCCATAGCTATCAAATAAGACAAGCTCCCAGAATCCTTTGCTGCTAGTTTCCATCTTTCCTTCCTTTGCTCTGGGCAGGTGGTTGTGAGGGGCTGGCCGATCTGCATTCCTTGCTGATAAAAGAACCGTAGCGAGAGAGCATCTTCTCGCTTCAGGCCTGGTCCAAGAGGTGGAAATTTAGGGAGCAAAGCATTGGCCCGGGGTGTGTGGGGTGTGTGTGGTGTGTGTGAAAATGTTAAGAGCTTTGTAGTATTCGGGAGGGGGCCTCCCCCCCAAAAAATAAATTTGCAAAATTTTGTTCAGCCAATAACATTTCAGAGTCGCTGGCTGAATCTGCCGCAGCGTACACGAAAGCAACTGCCAGGAAGTGTCTGCTGGAGAAGGTAGAAGTGATCACAGGGGAGGAAGCAGAAAGTAACGTCCTGCAGGTGAGGCTGGCGAAGGTGGAAGCACGTCCTTGGTAGTTGCAGTCAGTGGCCTCCCTTCTCCTGTGTGTGTGTTTGTGTGTGTGTGTGTGTGTGTGTGTGTGTGTGTGTGTAAGAGTGTCCTTGGAGCTGATCGAAGGGGTCCTGGGCATTGTCAAGGGGCAGGTGCTTCGTTGCCGTGGATGCTTGCCGTAGGACCTGGGAGGCTTTCAAGCACAGGAATCTGTAAGAAGAGGCCCAAAGACTAGACTTCCTGGGCAGCACTGCCTTCTCATCGTAGTTGTTTGGCTCCTTTGGCGAGCCTGTCGGACACCTGTCTGCTCTTTACCCGATGCGTTGCCTGAGGCCAAAGATCCTTCTAGTCCAGTGTCCCGTTTCTGGATAATCCACAAGGGCCAGTCTCTCCTCCTCCACTGGCAAAGGGTATTCAGAGGTAGACTTCCCCTGAACATGGCAGTTCCACTGTGCCGTCATTGAAAACAGTCACTGATGAAGTTACGGGGTCTGCCCTGTGAGGAGATGCTGCCTCTTCTGGTACCCCAGTACAGGAGGCTTTCCTGAAGGGTCCCTGAGTTCCAGGGCATCTTTCTCTGGCTAAGGGGGGGGGGGAGCACCTTTGCTAGTGGAAAGGATCCAGCCCCAGCTGAAGCCAAGAACCAAAAACTCCCTTGCCAAGAGCCACAGGTGACCTCCTGGGCTGTCCAGCACGCTCAAGCGGCGTGACCTTCTTCTCACCTCCTCTCCTCCATGAAGATCCTTGACAAGGGAGCTCCTTTTTCTGTTGCAGATCCAGTGCAAGCTGTTTGTCTTTGACAAGACCTCTCAGTCGTGGGTGGAAAGGGGCCGAGGGCTCCTGAGGTTGAACGACATGGCGTCCACTGACGACGGGACACTGCAGTCGCGCCTGGGTAAGACAGCAGCAGTGAGGAGACCAACGGTGGCTCAGCAGGAGACAGGCATTTACCGCCAGGCCGAGTCCAGGAGGCATCTGTCTGCCTGGGGGGGGGGGTCTCCTGCAATGGCCCTCCAGCTGCGTGACCTGGAGAGGAATTCCCATCTAGCTGCAGGGCAGGGCAGGGCAGCCAGAAAGCCCCACCAAGTGGTTAGCCCACAGCCTTCTCTAATTGGCCAGCCTGCCCACACACAAGGGCGAGCCCACCTGCAGCCTCGTCCGTGGGCGAGGGAAGCCTGGCCAGGCAGGCGTGGGCTGGTTCGGAGAGCTGCGCAGCTGGTGGCGAAACGTTCCCCTCCAGGGCCAAGGCTCAGGATTCAGGGGGGAGGCCCGAGAAATAACACTTGCGAAACGTGAAGAGCAGAGAGGCCGGCCTGATCATCTAGCATCCTCCTGGGATGTGTGCCTCCCCACACTGTCTGTGGCCAGCAGTCACCAGTATTGTGCAGAGAGCCACCCCTGTGGGGTTTGGGTTCCCGGGAGCCCATTGAAAGGAGAGGGGCTGGGTCTCGGCGCACACCCTCGGGTGCTCCCGGGCCGAAGAGGGTGGAGTGGGGGACAGGGCTGGAGGCCTGCCATGGCTTTGCTAGCTTAGCCAGCTCTGTTCTCATCCCTGCCCAGTCATGAGGACACAGGGCAGCCTGCGGCTCATCCTGAACACCAAGCTTTGGGCACAGATGCAAATCGACAAGGCCAGCGAGAAGAGCATCCGGATCACCGCCATGGACACGGAAGACCAGGGAGTCAAAGTGTTTCTCATCTCGGTAAGATGGGCGGGTGCGGCAGCTTATCGTCTTCACACCCCTCCTCACCGTCCGAGCGTGTCGTTTGCATTTTCACTGGAGACGGGCTTTTGCCTTTGCCATAACAGCCGTGGATCTCCTCCATTCATTCTGCTTAGCTGTGACCAATGTTCCCTCTAAGTCGTGGAGTCTTGTGAGCAAAAATTCTGCTTTGTGAGCTTTTGGCATTAAAGTTGTGAGCAAATGATGTGGCTACTGCATAAATTAGTTTGCTCCGGAGCCATCCTTCTTGAGCTAAGACAAAAGTGTGTGAGCCGGAGGCTAAAAAACTGTGAGCTGGCTCACGCCAACTCAGCTTAGAGGGAACACTGGCTGTGACACTTCCTTCCAGCGCAGAGAGACTTCCCTTGACCCAGGAGGGGCTCTCTGCCTCAGGGGAAGGCTCCCTCTGCTGGGGTAGCAGAAGAGATCCATGGAATCCAGCCCAGTGACTGCAGGGGTGGAGAAGGGCCGGCTGGTGTTAAGCATGGCCGCTTTGGGTTGGACCAGGAGTCCACGTGGGTCTGTTCTTTGTCTCCTGATGGGGGCCAGCCAGAAGCTGAGTGGAGCGCTTCTGTACCTGGTCCTTGGAGGGAGGTCTTCTCCAAACGGGGCCATCTGTCCTGACTGGTCAGGTTGCAGATGATGGCTTGGCAGGAAGGTGCAGGTGAAAGGGCTGCACCAGAAGAAGAATCCCTCTCATCCAGCGCCCCATCCAGATCCCTGCGGGAAGTTGACAGGCAATGGCCCCACCCTGTTCTCTGGTATTCAGGACAGACTCTCCCTGAACATGGAGGTCCTGTTTGGCTTTCCTGGCGAACAGCTGCTTACAGTCCCCCCTTTTCCAGAAGTTCAAGCTCCCTAGCCTTTAAAAGGGGGACGGCTCCCTAAGGGGCCACGGTGGCTCAGAGGTTAAGACGCTGAGCTGCAGACCAGAAGGTCTGTAGTTCAGCAGTTCGAGACCCTAGTGCCGCGTGACAGAGTGAGCTCCCCTCTCTGGCCCCAGCTCCTGCCAACCTAGCAGTTCGAAAGCAAGAAATTGCAAGTAGATAAATACCTTCCCGCTTCGGTGGGAAGGTAACAGTGTTCCGTGTGCCTCGGTGTCTAGTCATGCTGGCCGCATGATCTCGGAAACGTCTCCGACAGCGCTGGCTCTTTGACTTGGAAACAGAGATGAGCACTGCCCCCTAGAGTCGGCTTCGACTGGCTTTCGAGCACGGGAAACCTTTACCTTTTACCTTTGGAGCTCCTTAATTTTCTGTCGCATCACCTTGACTTGGGGGGAAGGTGTTTGATCCCAAATGGGGCTTTGCTTTTGGAACCACAGGCAAGTTCTAAAGACACAGGACAACTCTATGCTGCCTTGCACCACCGGATCCTGGCCTTGCGGAGTCGTGTGGAGCAGGAGCAAGAGGCCAAAAACTCAGCCCCGGAGCCGGAGGTGACCCAGTCGAACGAGGAAGACAGTGACGATGACGATGGCCTGGCCCCTTCAGGATCACCTGGAAGTGGTGAGCAGGCCTGAGCGGCTGTGGGGGAGCTCCTAGAAAGGAAACGTTTCCCAAAAATGGGAAGCCATAAGGGGAGTTTTTTTTCCTGTTCTCCCCCACCCCACCCCACCCCAAAGGAAATACAGAAACTTGGGGGGGGAATGGGACTATATGCAGTACTTCCCTACCAAGCATTAACTTTAATTGCACTGCTCTAGCAGCATAAAAGGCATCATTTAGAACCATGCTGAGCAGAATGGTGCTACTGAGCAGCCAGATGCTCTCTGGCCCCACTACTGGACCTCCTGGTGGCACCTGGTATTTTTGGCCACTGTGTGACAGAATGTTGGACTAGATGGGCCATTGGCCTGATCCGACATTGGCTTCTCTTATGTTCTTCTGTTCTTATGACAATTAAAGGTCCCTCTTGCCTTTCTGCCCGCCCCCCCTGAGGTGCTGCTGCCTCACTTTCTTCTCCTTCCCCTTTCGGGGAGAGCAGCAGCAGCCTTTCCCACCCAACCGTTCCCTTTCTGGGAAGAATAAAACAGCACTGAGGATGGAGGAAAGAGCTGGAATGTGAAGCAATCAGACTCCTTTGATTTGGAGCTGCTGCCTGGGGTCCTAGCATGCCTCACCAAAGACTCTTGAGTAAGTTAGCAGTCGTAGGAGAAAGGGACTGGTCCTGTTATGGACTAAAAATCAGCTAAACAGGGAGCAGAACAGGAATAAGTGGACATTTCTTGTAGTGGAGGGAAGTGAGCAGTGGGGGTCCCTCGAGGATCAGTCCTGGGACTGGTGCTGTTTTGTTGGTTCATAAATTATTTGGAACTGGGGGGTGAGAGCAGCCCAGTGGCCAGGTCTGCAGATGACGACAAGATTATTCAGGATGATACCCAAAGCAGATTGAAGAGGGCACAGGCGGACCGAGCAAAAATGTACGAATGGGCAATCACATGGCAAAATGAAGTGCAGTGCTAGTAAGGGTAAGGTGATGCAAACTGGAGCAGAAAATCCCAGCTGCTTATGGGTGTCGAACTGGCTGAAGCCAAGACTGAAAGAGATCTAGGGGTCACAGTGGAAACCTCAGTGAAAATGTCACCCCAGTGTGTGGCGGCAGTTAAAAAGGCAAACCCCACACTGGGAATTATTAGGAAAGGGACTGAAAATGAAACAGCCAGAATTGTAATTCCCTTGCGCTGCACCCACAGTTGGAGGACCTGTGTGTGGTTCTGGTTGCTGGATTTCAAAAATGGTATCGCAGCGCTGGGAAATGTGCAGAGGAGGCCAGCTGAGGTGATTCAGGAAAGGCGCTTGGGGGCTTTGCAGTCGAGAAGGAAGATGACTGAGCGGGGATGAGGCTGAGTTTTATAAAACTGTGCATGGGTTAAATTTTTTCCTCTCTCCCCCATGATACTAGAATTCAGTGAAGACGATAGAGCAGGTAAAGGGAGTAGTTCTTCACTCACTGAGTAATTGAATTGTGGAATTCATGGCCGTTGGATGTTATGATGCACAAGCGGCTTAAGTTCACGGAGGAGAGGGTCCATCAACGGCCACCAGCCACGATAACTAACAGGAGCCTCCATGCCCAGAGGCAGTGCATCTCAAGTTACCCGTGCTAGGGGACAACATCAGAAGGCCCTGGCTTCTGTGCCCTGTTGCTGGTCCTCTGGGGCAACTGGTTGGCTGCTCTGTGGCTGGACGAGATGGTTTGTGACCTTTGGTGCACTATTTGGTTGTACTTTCTGATCAAAATTTTGTTTCTTGTTAGTGTTGGAAATTGCTTTGTGTAGCAGTGTTTTCACCCATCACCAGCTTCTGAGGCCTGGGGTAGGCCAGGAGGGAGGGTCCTACAAGGGGTGGGTGTGAGGCCACCCTGCCGTGCACAGCGCTGTGAAGGCCCTTCTGCAGAGTCTCACGAGGTTCCTTGTGTTCACTGCAGGCCCCCCCGACGAAGGTGACGGACAAACGGGAGGGAGCACATAGCGGCCATGAGCCCCTCCGCCTGGCCAGAGCTGCGGCAGCCAAGACCTTCTGGTGGAATGTCCTGCCCCAGGCCAGCCATCGAGGCACCAAGACATATAAACTCTGCATCCCTGTTCTGGTTTTTTTGTGTTGGATTTTTTGGGGAGCTGGATCGGTCGATTCCATATTAAAAAAAAAAAGAGAGAGAGAGAGAGAGAAAAACAGCAGACTTTGGACAAAATTCGCTGGATGTGGTTTGGGGACACCAATGCTCATCATATTGATGAGTGGGAAGAAATAACCCTCTCCCCACCCTGCACTTGCTATTACTTGTTAAGGCATCGTGTGACTCACCACAGCCTGTTTGCAGGATCTCCTGGCTCTCCTCCCCACCACGGAACCTTCCCGGGCAGCCCCTCCTTGCGTTCATCTTTCCCAGCCCTCCCGGTGCCCCCCCCCCCCACCTGGGTTCTGGCTGCTCCCGCCCTCCCGCTCTCCTTTGGATTGCAAACCGCAAGACACTTCGTTGCCCTCGTCTCTTCCGACTTCCAACCCCAAGGAACTCTGCGGATGCCTGGAAGCGCTGCTTGCCTGACAGGCCCCCTTCTGTGTTTTGATTGTGTCCCCACACACACACACACACAGATTACACACAAGATCTGGACAGCGGTTTCCTGAGCTTGGAAGAGACTTTCAGCCAGGGGAGGGGGGGGATGCTAACAGCCCCTTTTCCTTGTTATTATTTGGGACTTCTATTGTGACAATAACTTTTTTTTTAATTTTAGTTTTGTATAAGATACTCTAGTGTGATGAGCAAATGAGCGCCCTTCAGTTTTGTACTGTTCTTTTCTGTTACTATTTAAGGGAGAGCCAAGCCACTCTAGCTGTGTGTGTGTCCGCACACCCACACACACACACACAAAACAGGTGTTAACGTACCAGGCTGTGTGTTGTTCCTGCCTAGTAACCTCCCAGTCTTGCCACCGTGCTTAATGGCTGAGTGGGACACAGCTGTCTCGACTTTTCAAGAACACAGACACTAGTTTGCCGAAGCAGGGCCCGCTGCTGAGACACACCGAAGTCCCCTTCTCTCACTATGAGCCTCCACCCCCCCACCCCCTGCTCAGTGAGGGGCTTTCGTTTCTGCCTAAATCGAAGGGGCGGGGCAGTGCCCTGCCGAACCTTCCTGCCAGCCTCTTTTCCAGAAGCTGCCGGCCTCCGAAAGAACCATGACAGGCTTTGTCTTGGTTACCCAGATAAGCCCTGTGGTGTGGGCAGCATCTTTAAGGCAAAGGCCCCCTGGCTGGATGCCCAGAGCGGCCCCCCCATATGCAGCAGGCACCCCCCCCCCATTACCAGCTGACATGGGATTGTGGCATCTTCAGGCCTCTGGAGTCAGCCGTGGAGAAGCCCTTGCAGGGGGAGGGCATGGGCGGTCCTCTCTCATGGGGTCCTCGCCAGCCACCTTTGCCAACATCTTGTCCTTTCCCAAACCAAGGCAGTAACATGCGCGGTCCCTTTTTGCCCAGAAATTTCAGCAGCTTTGTATTCTGTGTGGGCTTCCCACCCCCGACATTGTTCGAGTAGATCTGTTTTGGCTCTCCCCCCCCCTCCCCTGCCTTGATGAAAGGACATGTGGGGGTGACCAGGGTTAGCTGTCCCCCCACCCCACCCCCGTCTCCAGCAGACCTGACTTCCCTTTTCGGAAAGCTGTCCTGGAGCTAACCAGTTCTTCTGGCTAGGCAGAGAGAGAGAGAGAGAAAGTAGCAGGTTTGGCTGTGTCTGTACATTGGACTTCCTTCTCCAAACTCCTCCTGTTGAATTTTTTTCCCCCCCACAGAGGGAGAAACCAGCCAGCTCCAAAGTAGAAGCAGAGTCTGGCTGAACTGTGAACCGGTGGGGCACTGGTCTGTTGAGTATGGGGTGGGTGGGGGTGGGAGACTCTTGTATCAAGGAGACGGAACCTTTTAGACAGCTTTAAACTGGTGAACTGAAGCAGGTGAGAGCATTCTGATGTCTAGTATTTAATGGGGGGAGGGAAGCAAGCCCCTAAATCAGTTTACTCTGGCATAGCAGGGATGTGTTAGGGGTGGGATGGGGGGGTGTCTGCTTCGTTGGAACATCTGGGATTGTCATGGGGTTATTTTTAGTACGTGCGCACATGTGTGGAAGCGTTGTGGGAGTGAGCGAGTGCCCGCGCGGGAGTCAGCAGAAGGCCGCTGCAGGGGTTACCTGCCGGTTCCCTCGGAACTTTTAATATTTGGATGTCGAAAGGATTCCCCACAGACTTCATTCTTACAAACCTGGCAGCTACTTTGGACGTGGCAGTTTGGATCCAGCCGGCTGCCCTCAGGCCATGCAAAGGAGGAGAGATTCCACGTTGATTCCGGAGCAGCTGTGGACCCTATTCGGGGCACCTCGGCGAGTCCCAAGACTCCTCTAGGGGCTTTCTGGGGATGGGGGTGGTCAGATGGGCCAGAAACTGACTTTATTTCCTTTCTTTTCTGCTTCAAGGTGTAGCCAGCTAGTGACAAGTAAAAACCAGACAACGCCCGTGTGTTTTGGAAGATTTCTGTAAGACGGTCATATCAGATGTATTTGGGAATTACATTAAAACTTGTAACAAAGCGTTCCTGCTGTTTCTTTGGCATGAGGAAGCTCTGTTGGCTTTTGTGTGGAATTTTTCTTCACAGCACGTGGAACTCACAGCTACAAGATGCACAGCTGACTACCGATGGCTGCTAGAAGGGATTAGGTAAATACAGGGAAGTCTTTTACCTGCGAAGGCTTATTGGAACTTCTACATACAGAGGTAGCCCATCTCTAAACAGAGGCAACTGCAACCAAATGTGATTTTGTTTTAGTCTGACTATAAATCACAAGTGGGTTTTAATATTTCACAAACCCGCCGATGACCCACATAATAAACTAAAAACAAAGCTGCTTAAATAGTGGAAATCAAAATGTCTTTTCATGTTCGGGTAAACTGTGTTTTCCCCTCTGATGCCAGGGGCCGTGATACTTGCTGAGGGAAGGGAGGTGGTTACCTGGGATCAGTGTTCCCTCTAAGCCGAGTTAGTGTGAGCTAGCTCACAGTTTTTTAGCCTCCTGCTCACAGATTTTTGCCTTAGCTCAGGAAGGGATGGCTCCAGAGCAAACTAATTTATGCAGTAGCCAAATTGCTCACTCACAACTTTTAACGCCAGTAGCTCACAAAGTAGAATTTTTGCTCACAAGACTCCACCGCTTAGAGGGAGCATTGCCTGGGATCCTCCTTCCTGGATGGTGGGCCTGTGCTGGGAAATGTTTTGTGTTGCTCCTTGGCTGGAGAGTCAGATCTGGCTGTCTTCTGCAGGTTTTCTTTCTCTGCTAATTTGTAACCGTCATCTCCCCGTTCCCTCCACTTCTGGCTTTGTCCATTTCAGCCAGAATTCACCTCATCTAGTTCTGAGGGACTCTGGTGGTCAGATTCGGGCATACCAATCCTGGAGGTGATCTAGCTCAAAAGGAGTTAGATCATATCCACAGCCCCTCTATACACACACAGACACGTCACTTTGGTCGCACAGCGGCTCTTCCTGTGCCCTAGGTCAGTCACGTTTATATACAAATCAGCACCGAGGCCTTGGGTGTCTTCTGTTTTGTGGGCAAACGGAGGATCCCCGATGGTGCTCAGGCACTGGGCATCTGGCTGGCATTTATTTCAGCTGGCAGTTGAACAAATTTCCAAGTGCGTCTTCCCCGTCAGACTAGAACTCTCTTAACGCCCCTCCCCCCAAACTCTAGGTTTTGTAGGTTATTGTAGCATATACCGTTTAGTTTCAGAATTAACCCTAATTGGGTGGTATCTCGAAAGGAGAAGGGGGTTTCTGTGCAGGGCTCAAAGAAGGAGACCTTTTTTTAGGGGGGCAGCATACAATCTGCCTGTGGGGCACACCATTAATTAACCGCCTAATTTTAGCACTATCGCAAGCTACCACACAATGTCTTTGATAGCGAGCGGAGTGGCACGGTAGATTTTGGCCTAATTCTTTGCACTTGGGACCCTCCAGTTCCCTCAGCTAGAATTATTAACATTTTGATCTTGTGTCTCTCCCGCCCTACCGCTGGGCTCAATTTGTGCAACTTTTCATAACCAGGGGAAACACCATTAATTCAAACTAGAGCATGATGAAACTTGTCAGGGATGCTGTAGGTTGACCCTGCACTCAGCAGGGGGTTGGACCCGATGGCATGTATGGCCCCTTCCAACTCTGTGGCTCTATGAGTCAAAACCCTGCCCTTCTGCAGCCCAGCTGAATTCCCCCCCCCTCAACCAATGAGTTCAGTAGGGCTTGCTTGAAAGTAAGTGGGCACAGGTTTGCAACTGGAGGTACATGGAAAGATGCCAGGGCACACACACACACACCCCTTCCCATAAGCAGGCCTAGACCATGGAGTCTTTCCCCCACTGTGGCTTTTATTGGATGGATATTGCTTGGGGTATGGAAGAAGCACAGGGTACAGCTTTTTGGAAACTACAAGCAAACATGGTCTTGCAGCCCGATCTTGAGTCCTGCTTACTCAGGAATGGATCCCACCAAATCCCATATGACAACTCCTAAACTGGCAGGCTGTTTTATGGCTGCTTCTACTCATACAGCAGAGACTGAACGGGGAGAGTCCTGAGGTGAAAGACCAGGCAGTGTCTCTGAATAGTCTCCCGTGGCAGAGATTCCCTGCAGAAGAGAAAATGAGCCCGACTATAGTCCATGCTTGTCCCCTGCTGGGCTAGTCTTCTGCCTGCCCAGAGTTACACGGAAGAACATTCAAGGACAACAGTTGATGACTTCCACCACCTCTACCTCATTCTGATTCCAGGCCTTTGTCTCCTGGGGGGTGGCGGCGGCGGTGGTGTTTGTGTCTCGGCTACCGCCGCCTTCGGCACAGAGATCCTCAGCAGGTTTGAATCCCGGCTGAGGGACCTTGGGCCAGTCACACTCAGCCTAACCTACTTCACAGGGTGGTTTTGAGGATAAAATGGAGGAGAGTGAAGCCACTTTAGGTCCCTGTTGTGGAGAAAAGCGAGGGTATTGATACATTCCCCCCCCCCAATAGCCCTCTGCCTCTAAGGCAAGCCTCCGGTGCCATGGGAGGAGGCAGGTCGGTTGCCGCTTCTCCCCGCCTAGAGCTTCCAGGCTGCCTTCAGCATGTCCACAAAGTACTCGTCACTCTCAATGGAGGCACTGATGCCACTGTAATAGTTCAGGAACTCTTCAGCTGTGACCTGTGGGGAGGGAGGAAGTGGCCTGAGTTGTGAGGGGAAGAGGGGGCTGGCTCTGCCCCCCCCACACACACCCTGTTGCGATGCCTGTTTTGCTGCTCTGCTTGAGATCCTCAGCGGAGTCCTGCAGGCACAGACCCGGGCAGGGGTGTGTGTGTGTGTGTGAACACAGATGGAACGGTCCCCACCCTCTCCCTGAGGCCCGCCTGCTCAGCACCCTTCTGTGGCCGAGCTGGCACATCTCTCCCCGCCTCTCCCAAGAGAAGCTGCCACCAGGCCCTGCCCCACCACTCACCTTCCCGTCCTTGTCAGAGTCAAAGCTGTCCAGGAAGGAGCGAAAGACCTGCTCCTCTGTCCACTCCCCGCTCTTGAACTTGGGGTGGGCCTGGCCTTGGTAGACCCCCTGGAGGTCCTCAGTGGTCACCAAGCCATCGCCGGTCTTGTCCAGTTTCTGGAATGCCTTGCTGATGACCTCCTTCCGGGCTTCAGACATGGGAGGCTGAGGGGAGATAAGGGAGTTTGCCCTCCTCTCCTCGAGGCCCAGTTCCTACACTCTCAGGGGCTTCTAGCCACCAGGGCAATATGGAGCCTCCGTGGCCAAAGGCACTGTATCTCTGGACTGCAGATGCAATGGAGGAAGACAGTTGCAGTTGCCTTGCACTTGTGCGCAAGGTGGAGCTTTTTAGGTCTGTTCCACAAAGCTGCTCTATCTTTGTTTTATGTTATGGCCGGGGTCCGACTTACCTGAGGGACCGCCTTTCCCCATATATACCCCCAAGAGCACTTAGGTCTGGGGCACAACATCGCCTGGTGGTTCCAGGCCCCCGGGAGGCAAGGCTCGCCACGACTAGGACCAGATCCTTTTCAGTGGTGGCTCCTACCTGGTGGAACGAGCTCCCGGAGGAGATCAGGGCCCTGTGGGACCTTATGCAGTTCCGCAGGGCCTGTAAGACGGAGCTCTTCCGCCAGGCTTTCACATAGGGGCCACCACTACCACCGTCACCAGTGAGGTGGACAACAGGATTAAGGATGGCCCAGGAAGATCTGCCACAACTTCTGCATGACCGATACCACTGGATTTACCTGATTGAGCTATAGGATAACATCATCCTTGGAGAACTGTCTATTTACCATCTGGCATGTATCCGGAGAACATCTTGTTAAATGAGTACAATTGTTATTAATGTTTTTATTGCTTTTATCTGTTTTATATGGGCTTTGCCCCTTGTAAGCTGCCCTGAGCCCGCTCTGCGGGGAGGGCGGGGTATAAATCTTAATAAATAAATAATAAATTTTAAAAAATTAAAAACAGCCTTATTAACAGCTCTTGATAGTCAACTGCAGCTGCCAATGGTGTGTGTGTGGGGGGGGGGTAGCGCAGGGGAGACCAGCAGCCTCTCTGGCCGCCTCTCACTGCATCAACTTGGCAAGGACTTCTTCAGCCACCACCGTTCTCAAGCAGAGAATACCCGAGAGCCTTTCATTTTTGCATGGCTTAATCTGAATTTTAAATTTGTAAAAAATGGGGGGGGGGAATAGAAGAAGAATATATGAAACATTAAACTCTTTAAGGCTAACATACTTAAAGGCAGAGGAAACTGGGGGGATCACTCTTTTGGACTTCTCTTAGAGGAAGACTTTCAAAACTTAAGAGCTAACCCTTCTCCTCTGTTCCAGACAGCAAGAAGACCGCCAAAGCTGCCCGCCGTCTTTCAGCCAAAGGGTGTCACTACGTGTGCAGAGTTCTCCAGGCCTGAGAGTACAGGTGCAACTGTCAGCCTGCAGCGCACCACTGCACAAGGGATGTGGGGGTTAGCACAACACCTGGTTGCAGCCTCTCGCTATCTGTTCCAGGGCCCCCTGAGGGTAGACCGCCTGGCGTCCCCTTTCAGCTCCCACACCTGGCTCTACCACCCATGGGGAAGAAAAGCTCCCGTGCTCACCCGCAGGGCCTCCAGGAACTCTGTGAAATCCAGTGTGCCATTCTGGCCCTTGTCGCAGAGGCTGAAAATCTGCTGGGCTTCCTCCCGCTCCAGAGAGTACCCGGCATCCTGAAGACCTTTCAGGAATCCCTCCAGGTCCAAGGACTGGCTCTTTTCATCGGCCAGGATGCGAAGATGCCTGCGGGGGAGGAGGGGGCCCACAATCAGCTCTGGCTCCCTTGGGCTGCATCAGCTGCTGTGCCTGAGGCTCGTCTTGGTTTCACCTGACAAAAGTAAGTTTCTGGCCCTCATGATTGCCAGCTATGCGCCTGCTGTGATCTCAGGAGTTAGATGGGGACGACGCATACTTATTTCTAGTAGGAAGTTTGGGGAAGATTTAGACCGATTCCCCACAAGCAGCTGTGCCGCC